TATTTAATGCAAATACCCATTGCAAGAAAATATTAAACCTTAAGGCAAATATTTTTTTGGACTCTAGGAAAATCATTACCATTTTTTATTGATTTTGAAAGACAGAAATTGTGGAAACGGCATCATTGGACCCTAGAGTTCTTCAGTCACACTCAAGACATAGAGGCAAATAGACTGAGCTTATCCAATGGCAAGAACAAGAGTCCACATGAAAAACAATGGTCTTCCAGCCTTCCCTGAGGAATAAGGTAGCAAGTTCAGAGAAATTAGCTGAGAAGGGCAAATCTGCTAGATTTTGTAGATGTAGAAGAAAAAGTCTTGGTTCCATACACACTAAATACCACAAAACTTGTACAAGTCCTAAAGGTAAACTTTGCTTCTCACTTAGTCATGTACAGAAACCACCCATCACAGAACATATGGAAGATGTCTCCCTAACATACATTTTCTCCAAATGGATTTCCAAAACTAATGGAAACAAACAAATGCCATTGAAAATGTACCAGCCATCCAGCATCATTCAAAAGACCTTTACTTGAGGACAGACAGCATCAAGAACCACTTTTCACCACCGTACACAGCTTTACTTAAGACTAACCTGTGGTGGATTAGTATTTTTCCCTGTTGCAAGAAGGGACCTTGAGAACCCATCCCACAGGAAGGGATACACTCTGGCCCTGGACACATGGGAAAGGACCCAGGCCCAGCACAGGAAGATTTGGTGGACACTGCAGAGCCCCCATTGAGGTCCCTACCCTGCCTGGGGAGTGGAGGGTGGATGGGGTGAGGGGTAGGTTGGGGGTGGGGGAGGAGGGATGAGGGTAAGGGGAGGGAGAGGGAGAAGGGACTTACATGTGAAACAAGCTTGTTCCCTAACTTGAACTAATAAAAATAAATAAATAAATAAATAAATAAATAAATAAATAAATAAATAAATAAATAAATAAATAAATAAATAAATAAATAAATAAATAAATAAATAAATAAATAAATAAATAAATAAATAAATAAATAAATAAATAAATAAATAAATAAATAAATAAATAAATAAATAAATAAATAAATAAATACTAACCTGTGGCAACTTTTAGTAAATAAAATAAATACTGTTAAAATTTACATTCAGTATACTTCACATGTGAGACCTGAGAAAAATCATTAGGAAAACAGTTCTCCTTTTACTGTAATGCACCGTTTAAAAGCTTCATGAGTGATTTGGGCAACTTTTGTTCAGGTTCTGTCATGAAATATATTGACCCAGTGTAAGTTCTTCAGAGTAAATGTCAAGGTGTGGCACTCTGAAATTATATTATTTGCTAATAATCAAAGTTTTCCATTTCAGACACCAAACTCAAACATAAGTATGAGCCAAAAGGCATAAACAAAGTTCAAAGAAGACATTAGAGGAAAAACAATGTGTGCCTTGTGTGTAGCACAGGTGGTATTTGCATCTTATTGATTCGTAAAGGTTAAAGAAACAGAACTTCCTTGTCTAAAATTGATCTTGCTTTGCTGGTAAAGTTTCTGTGACAGGAGGAAGAAAATGACAGGATCTGCTTTACCTGCTCCTGGGAGTTCTCCGTGCATTTAATACAAGAGACATCTGCTCACCTCCATTTTCATTTGGGGATTCTCCATGTGTTTAGTGCAGTACTAACCCATCCATCTCTAGCTTCACTTGAGATCTTTATTGCTATCATTTCAGTTCTTTTTTGTTTGTTTAAGAAAATATTATTATTGGTAAATTATTAAGGAAACAAAATGTCAAAATTATGTCCAAAACTTAAATTTAAATCATTAAATAAAATTGTGCAAAGTGCATCCAATAGGTCATTTACAGTATTAATGTGACTTCTAGTATTCACTGAGGAATAGAGAAATTAGTGCAAGAGCACATTTTTCTTCATTCCCTTTTCAGTCACATTTTATTCACAAATAGCAGGATTAAGCTCATTTCACAAGGAGTTAATTTCTAATTGACTATGAAATTTTATGGAAGTGGATTTATTCTTTGTTTTTTTTTTTTTTTTGAAACTTAGTTAGAATAAGGAGACAATGGTATATATAGAACCAAAACTGATGACATCTTGAAGTAATGAACTAAGTTCTGTCCTCAGGCTTTCTTTCTTTTCTTCAATTTTTTAATTTAAGTTAGAAACAAGATTGTTTCACATGTCAATCCCAGTTCCCTCTCCCTCCCCACCTCCCCTGACACCTACTAACACCCTGCATATCCCATACCCTTTCTGCTCCCCAGGGAAGGTGAAGTCTTCCATGGGGGGTCTTCAGAGTCTGCCATATCCTTTGGCACCTTCCCCATGTGCCGAGGCTCAGGGAGTATCCCTCTATGTGGAATGAGCTCCCAAAGTCCATTCTTATGCTAGGGATAAGTACTGATCTACTACCAGAGGCCCCATAGATTTCTGAGGCCTCATCAATGACACCCATGTTCATGGGGTCTGGATCAGTCCCATAGCTGGTTTCCCAGGTATCAGTCTGGGGACGAAGACAGATCCTCCTTGTTTAGGTCAGCTGTTTCTGTGGGTTTCACCAGCTTGATCTTGACCCCTTTGCTCATCACTCCTCCTTCTCTGCAACTGGATTCCAATTCAGTTCAGTGTTTAGCTGTGGGTGTCTGCTTCTACTTCCATCAGCTGCTGGATGAAGGTTCTCGGGTGGCATATAAGTTGGTCATCAATCTCATTATCAGGGGTGGGTATTTAAGGTAGCCTCTCCACTGTTGATTAGATGGTTAGTTGGTATCATCCTTGTGGATCTCCAGACATTTCCCTAGTGCCTGATATCTCTTTAAACCTATAATGGCTCCCTCTATTATGGTATCTCTTATCTTGCTCTCCTTTATTCTTCCCCCAACTCAACCTTCCTGCTCCCTCATGTTCTTCTCATCCCTCCTCTTCTCCCCTTCTCATTCTCCTAGCTCTGTCCCCCCTCCCCCATGCTCCCAATTTGCTCACGAGATCTTGTCCCTTTCCCCTTCTCCAGGGGACCATGTATGTCGCTCTTAGGGTCCTCCTTGTTTACTAGCTTCTCTGGCAGTGTGGATTGTAGGCTTGTAATCCTTTGCTCCATGTCTAAAATCCATATATGAGTGAGTACATACTATGTTTGTCTTTTTGTGACTGGATTACCTCACTCAGAATGGTTTCTTCTAGTTTCATCCATTTGCTTGCAAATTTCAAGATTCCATTGTTTTTTCCCCCCACTGAGTAGTATTCCATTGTGTAAATGTACCACATTTTCTCTATCCATTCTTCAGTTGAGGGACATCTAGGTTGCTTCCAGGTTCTGGCTATTATAAATAACGCTGCTATGAACATAGTTGAACAGATATCCTTGTTGTTTGAATGTGCTTCTTTTAGGTATATGCCTAAGAGTGGAATTGCTGGATCTTGTGGTAGACTGATTCCCATTTTCCTGAGGAATCTCCATACTGATTTCCAAAGTGGTTGTACGAGTTGACACTCCCACCAGCAATGGAGGAGTGTTCCTCTTTCTCCATATCCTCTCCAGCCCAAACTGTCATTGGTTTATTTGATTTTAGCCATTCTGACAGGAGTAAGATGGTATCTCATAGTTGTTTTGATTTGCATTTCCCTGATGGCTAAGGATGTTGAGCACTTTCTTATGTGCCTTTCAGCCATTTTAGATTCTTCTATTGAGAATTGTCTAGTTAGTTTTGTACCCCACTTTTTAATTGGATTATTTGGTGTTTTGGAGACTATCTTCTTGAGTTCTTTGTAAATTTTGGAGATCAGCCCTCTGTAAGATGTGGGGTTGGTGAATATCTTTTCCCATTCTGTGGGCTGCTGTTTTGTCTTCCTGACTGTGTCCTTTGCCTTACAGAGGCTTCTCAGTTTCAGGAGGAATTGGCACAAAAATAGACAGGTAGACCAATGGAATAAAATTGAAAACCCTGATATTAACCCACATATCTACAAACACCTGATTTTCAACAAAGAAGCTAAAGTTATGCAATGGAATAAAGAAAGCATCTTCAACAAATGGCGCTGGCATAACTGGATGCTGGCATGTAGAAGACTGAAGATAGATTCATATCTGTCACCATGCACAAAACATAAGTCCAAATGGATCAAAGACCTGAACATAAATCCAGCCACACTAAACCTCTTAGAACAGAAATTGGGAGGTACCCTTGAACGAATTGGTACAGGAGATGGCTTCCTGAACATTACACCAGTAGCACAGACACTGAGATCCACAATTAATAAATGGGACCTCCTGATAAACTGGGAAGTGGATTTATTAAAGTAAAAGAAAATTCTTCACATGCCAGGATAAAGTATTACAGCTTTGTGACCCTCAAACCTAAATCTCCCAGGATTGCTTGAATGGACATCCTCCTTCCATTCCTTCAGTCACCAAGATTATCCAGAACACCCCTGGACAGCATTAATGACATCAGCATTATCCTTAATCAACATTTTCCTTAGCGCCTCTGAAAATTCTATTTGTCTAAAAAACTTTCAACCAGTCAACTCTTGTTGATGGTGGGTGGAGGAGATGGCTCCATCAGTTAAGCACATGTAAGTCATGTATGTAGACCTGAGTTCTATCCCCAGAACCCATGTAAAAAGAAAAAAATAGCCAAGTGTGATGGTGTGCACTAGGGATCACAGAGCCAGGGAGGTAAACACAGGCACAACTCTGGTACTCAAGAGCCAGCTATTATCATGTAATTGGTAAGATCCAGGACAATGAGAGGTCCTGTCCCAAAGAAGGCAGATGATGCTCCTGAGGATAGCGCTTGATTTTTTTTTTTTCTGGTCCAGAGCACGTTCGCATGCATGCACTCACATCCCCCCCCCCCCCCCCCCCCCCCACCACTGTGAACCTCAAAAACCCAACAAAACAAAATTTTTATAAAACCACAAAACACACAGGCATATGCCCATTCAAATAATAATAATAAAAAACATTAATGTGGTTTGGAGAGGAGGCTCATCAGTAAAGAGTGTTACCTGCTCTTCTAGGAACTGGAGTTCCATTCCCAGCATCCATCTGGCAGCTCACAGCTGTCTGTAACTCAAGCTTCTGGGATGTGACACCATCTCCTAGCACTTACAAGCACTGGGCACACCTGCATAGACATACATGGAGACACATATGCATACATTAAAAAAATAAATCTTTTTAAAGAACCATTGAAGGTCCAGTTGAGTAAAGAATTAAGGACCAACTTAACTCTTGATCAGTCTTATCCCCAGGAACCCAACAGGTTTCCCCAGACTCGCCTGACATCCTATATGGAAACCAAGGCAAACTAATGTGATTTCTATCTTTGTCTGTCTGAAATTTTTCTTCTGAATACACAAATGTCTCCAACCTTCAAACACCATTTTAAATGCTTCCCTCAATTAGATGTCATTCATTCCATCTTTGAAGTTTCATGGCTCTTTCCCTGATGTCCTCTAACACAGTCAGCCCATATCATACACTGTAAGTACCCAAGAAGCTCCCCGAAAGAGAGTACTACATCCATTTTCCAATAGATCCTGGAACTTCCTCAAATATGAAGAGTGCCTGGCAAAACACTCATTTATTTCTTTGTCCATCTTAAATGACCATGGGTCTACAATAAATGTTACAGTAGTCCAAATGAGTGTTACATCTTGCACCCATTATGAAATGTGAGGCTTACATTTCAAACTTTATTTCTCCCTTTAAGTTATATGTGTTCAATAAGTCATACAATCCCAAATATTAGTGCTGATTGTTTTTTTCAAATCCTTACTCCATGTGATGCAAAATTTGAAAACAAAACATATAACAACTATATTCTTATTTCTGTCTTAAAATTTGTTTTGTGTTATTTGTATCTACAAAATTCTCTCAAATAAGCTATTAAAAATGATTAGAACCATGTTTTAAAATTACAGCTTAAACTCATTTTAAAACTGATACCAAATGTCAGCATACCGTAGGACTGACATAGGAATCATTTCACAAAGGGCAATAAAAATTCCTGAAGATGTTAGAAGATTCTTGTACAATTAAATCAATGAACTGGGGGAGGATTTTCCCTCAACCCCATATGGTGTGAGCCACATTTGTTTCTCAAAAAAAAGTAAGAATAAGCATTTTTTTCATGAGCATAAAATTAAAGAAAACTTAGACTTTCTGCATTTTAAAAATGTGTCAGATCTCTACTGGTTTAAACACTGGGCTTTTGTTCTTAATTTTGCTCCATATAACAAAAAAGTAATCCCATGAAAAACCAGGGAGATTCCTTGACAACATTTGGGAAAGTAAAGTCAGTTGACACTTCACACTAATTTTTCTTATTCTCTAATATAGTATATCAAAACAACAATGAGGGGCACCAGACAACTTCCATTAATTTTTGTGGATGTCAGATTCTCCTGAGCCTTACTTTATTGTTTATGGGGATGGTGTTTTTACAGTTTTAGAATTGTTTGTTTCCAATCAACACTCATGGTGCAGCCTAACAAAATGCTACCTGGAGTTCACTAAAATACTACTACTACCCTGAACATGCCTTTTGGTTAACCACTATAGTCATTCTTTAAATTTTTGTATCTCTTTCCACAGGGGAAGAAATATTGTCCTATATAAACCTAATGCCAAGAAAAATGGAAGATAGTGCTCATTAAAATAGCCACGCTTTGCTAAAGTCTGCTTTGGAGTTGTCAGGGCAATGCCCCCCAAGATATCTTTGATGCCACAGTAAGTTGTTCCTACCATCTTCCAGCTATTTGCAGTGTGGAACAAAACACAGACCATCTTCCCGAATGCATCATTACCTTGAAAGTCTTTGACATGCTGGACATGCTGAAATGAGTGTAATTGTGACTTGGGAGGTACAAATCACTTTTACTTCATTATGGTCTCAAGACAACTTATGCTGTAATACCATTTTCTCTTACAATTGCTCTTAAAATTCTCAAATGAAAGACCTTTCCCTTGTACAATCAGACTTAAATTTACCTTTTATATATAAAAATATGGACAACAGCAGCAAAAATAATCCATAGGAAAAATCGTTGATTTGTTACATAAAGATTACATAAAACTGTGATTATTCCAGTTATATTCATACTTATGGGTCCTAAGAGAAAATGAAATGAAAGCATTCTTAAAATTTAATTGGCTTGGTAGATAAGCATTTAAGAGTAACACTAAAGAACTATATTTCCATTTATATAAGGACCTGTGTTTTTACACTGTATTGGTTGCCACAAATAATGAAGTTTATATTCTTGTAAAAGCTAATGTTATCCATTATCAAATAACATGTTTAGAAATCATTATTGATTTTGAAACCTTAAAATGTATCTTTATATTAATTTTAAAAAGATGTATTCAAGATAATATTATTCAAAATTGTTATGTTACAACTAGTTGGTGAATTTTGGTGAATACTTTTACCCATTGGAAAATGCACTGATCTTTTTTCACACTATAATGATGTTGTCTTCTGCCAAATGGTGAACTACAGGAAGTCCTTTTTAGCATCACACCCAGTAGCTGATGGCTAATCTTCGTTGACGACTTCCTGGATCTGAAATCAACTAAAAAAGGATCTGTGCCTCTTCTATAAAGGATTCTCTTTTACTGGTTGTTTTAAGTGGGAAGACACACCCTAAATGTGAGCAACACATACTCTTAACATCCATATAAAGGAAGTCCAAGGGAAAATACTTTCCCTTTTGGCTTCCCTGCCTTTGCTTGCCTTTGGCTTTCCCTTCCTGTCACACCTAGCATGTTGCTGCTGTTGTCATAGCTGCCACTGTTCTTCATGGACATCTGATCCCATCTTATTAGGCCATCCAAGGTGGACTGAAGAGCAACAGCTCTCCAGGAATCCTCCAGGCCTTCAGCACCAAACTTGAACTGCCTAGGCATCCAGCCTCATGAACTCAGCAGCTGCCAGGTTCTCAGCCTCTCCAGTGTGCAATAGCCATTGTTGGACTACTCAGACAATGTTGTGCAAGCCAATCTAATGAATACCCTGTTTAATAATATCCATCCTACCAGTTCTGTTCCTGTAGGTGACCCTGGCCAATACATAGGCCCACCTGTCCTCCTGGGCCTCTCAGCACATTTGCTCTTGCCCACTCCCTTGCAACCTCCCTTTGCCTTCTTCATTCATGCTAGTGCACTGCATGGGCCCACAAACTCAGGTCAGAGCTTCTGCCTTCTAGCCAGGCTTCTCTAGCACTGTGCACACTCTGTGGTGGACTTCTATGCTTTTCACTTTGCTTCTAAGCATATTAACACATACAATACTTCACTGCATGTATTAATTTATATTCGATCCACCATCAGATTCTATTGGTCCTTCTTGTAAAATGCGCCTCATGTTCATTGGCTTCCTTACACCATTCATCTCAAGCCAGGCAACATCATTATGGTCTCACTAGTTCCATCTTGGCCTATCTTTCCTCTTCTATTTTGACTCTTTTACAACCCACATTCCTTAAAGGCTTTACAGAAATTCTTTCGAATATTAAATTTTTATAGATGAAGGATGTGTTTTAAATTTTTTTTACCAGGCTCCTATTGCTGAAGTCACCTCCAGAGGCATCCCTTATCACACTGAAGTAGTTCCTTCCTAACTGTTCTCCCAGATTGCACATACTGCCCTGTTTATCTATGTGTACTCCATACTGTATGTGGATTTCTTCACTTGCTTACTGTGTCTTCCCTAGATCCTGAGGGTCCATGAGGACAAGTCTCCTGTAGGACTGGATGTTGCTCTTTCCTCCTATCAGTCTTTAATGCCAGTCAATTTGTGGATACTGTAGAATATCTGTTTAATTCGATAATTGCTAGAGGGATTTAAATCCCAGTTATACTATAAGCTCCTTGAATTTAAAAAATATTCCTTATTTATCTCTATATTACAGAATGTAGTACAAACTGTCTTTAATTAATTGTAGGTGAGATAAATGACTATCTTTTTAATTATGGTTTGTACACACCATATATAAATCTATCTGTAGAATAGTACCAGCATCACAGAAATCATTCAATAGGTGACCATAGAATAAATGGAGAGAATGTGTGAAGACTTATCTCTCATGTTGCACATTCAGTGAAAATGAAGATTCAAATATCAGTACAAAAAAAAGAAAATGTCAGGACAAAGTTTTTGCCTTGGGCTACTAGCTCTAGCCTCCCATTCAATATCCAGAGTCTTTCAGGAATTCATGTTTATTCTTCCTTTCTAAAAAGTCAGGAAATATTGGGAACTCAGTACAAATACATTGTATGATTTCTGAATCTATTACTCCACCAGAAAATCTGGTCTTGAAAATACATTTTAAAGAAATATATCTAATTCAGCAAACACTGTTGAAAAAGAAGGTGCATATTCTTTCATAACTAAAGTTTCTAAATTATTTTATTACCATCCAGAACAGTGAAAAGATTATCTTTGGACCATGTTGCTGGTAATGATCTTGCACTGTGAAAGCAGAAAAGGGCATCTTTGTAAATAGTTATTTTTAAAAATATAAAACCTGTTTGGGTTAGAAGCAATCATCCTCTTGCACCTATGTTTTAGAATAGAATCTTAAGAAGCATTCACAAGACTAAAACCATTACACTGCAATTAATAAGAGATCATAAATAGCAACAATCCTACTGTTAAAAGTCACATATTTGTTTCCTAGCTTCTCTGGCAGTGGATTGTAGGCTGGTAATCCTTTGCTCCATGTCTAAAATCCATATATGAGTGGGTACATACCATTTTTGTCTTTTTGTGACTGGGTTACCTCAATCAGAATGGTTTCTTCTAGTTCCATCCATTTGCCTGCGAATTTCAATATTCCATTGTTTTTTTGTTTGTTTGTTTGTTTGTTTTTCCACTGAGTAATACTCCATTGTGTAAACGTACCACATTTTCTCTATCCATTCTTCAGTTGAGGGGCATCTAGTGGCTCCACGTTCTGGCTATTATAAATAATGCTGTTATGAGCATCATTGAACAGATGTTCTTGTTGTTTGAATGTGCTTCTTTTGGGTATTTGCCTAAGAGTGGAATTGCTGGATCTTGTGGTAGACTGATTCCCATTTTCCTGAGGAATCTCCATACTGATTTCCAAAGTGGCTGTACGAGTTGGCACTCCCACCAGCAGTGGAGGAGTGTTCCCCTTTCTCCACATCCTCTCCAGCATAAACTGTCATTGGTGTTTTTGATTTTAGTCATTCTGAAAGGAGTAAGATGGTATCTTAGAGTTATGTGATTTGCATTTCCCTGATGGCTAAGGAAGTTGAACACTTTCTTATGTGTCTTTCAGCCATTTTAGATTCCTCTATTGAGAATAGTCTAGTTAGTTTTGTACCCCACTTTTTAATTGGATTATTTGCAGTGCTGGAGACTATCTTCTTGAGTTCTTTGTATATTTTGAATATCAGCCCTCTGTCAGATGTGGATTTGGTGAATATCTTTTCCCATTCTGTGGGCTGCCAGTTTGTTTTGTTGACTGTGTCCTTTGCCTTACAGAAGCTTCTCAGTTTCTGGAGGTCCCATTTATTAATTGTCGATCTCAGTGTCTGTGCTACTGGTGTGTTGTTCAAGAAGTGGTCTCCTGTACCAATTCATTTGAGGGTACCACTTATGTTCTCTTCTAAGAGGTTCAGTGTGGCTGGATTTATGTTCAGGTCTTTGATCCATTTGGACTTAAGTTTTGTGCATGGTGACAGATATGAATCTATCTTCAGTCTTCTACATGCCAGCATCCAGTTATGCCAGCACCATTTGTTGAAGATGCTTTCTTTTTTCCATTGTATAATTTTAGCCTCTTTGTCAAAAATCAGGTATTTGTAGGTGTGTGGGTTAATATCAGGGTTTTCAATTTGATTCCATTGGTCTACTTGTCTATTTTTGTGCCAATACCAAGCTGTTTTCTTCCAGGGCTTGTATCAGTCACAAGCTACAAAGGCTATCTATTCTGGACTGATGTCTTTGGGGCTGCAATCAGAGGCAGTAGAATGGCCCAGGTCCATCTCTGAGTGGGGTTGTGCTGTACCAGGAAACTCTTAGCTACCCAACAGTGATAAAGATGAGAACCAGACAACTTGTCATTTCAGGAGGGCTCACAGTCCATGCTGGAGTCTGGAGTCTCTGGTTTATTCAAGCATCCCTTAAATACCTTTCTAACAGTGGGAGTTACCACAGAAGACATCTACTATCATGTATAAAGTTGATATCAAAAAATTCTTTTAACCCTAGTGGCACAGGCACTAGGCACATAAACAGTCCCTAGGCACATAAACAAAACCCTTAGAACAGGTTTGGGCACACCCAGGGCCTAGGACTGTTGTTATGCAAACTAGGAGACATTCTCCACTGAGACCAAGCCATCCAGAGGTAATTAGTCGGACATCTGAACAACAATGTGAGATTTGAGCTACCTGGATAGAGTTTGAGGCCTGTATCTGAAATACCATAATTGATATTTTTCGGCCCCCGACAATTTTCAGGACAAAAGTGCTATAATAGAGCTGGAAGTCAGAGATGGTTATGCCTCTGATTTCCCTTTATTGTACAGCATTGTTTTGGCTATCCTGGGTCTTTTGTTTTTCCATATAAAGTTGAAAATTGTTCCTTCAAGATCTGTGAAGAATTGTGTTGGGATTTTGATGGGGATTGCATTTAATCTGTAGACTGCTTTTGGCAAGATTGCCATTTTTACTATGTTGATCCGACCTATCCAAGAACATGGGAGATCTTTCCATTTTCTGGTATCTTCTGAGGACCCTAAGAGAGACATACATGGTCCCCCATAGAAAGGGATAGGGACAAGATCTCCTGAGCTAATTGGGAGCCTGATGGGAGGGAAAAGGGAGCTAGAAGAAAGAGAGGGTTGTTAGACCCCCGAAAACTCGGGGTCCCAGGCCAGGTTCGCGGTCACCCCAATCACCAGGCGGATTCGAGAGCTTGCTGCAAACTGCACGAGGCTTTATTGTAATTTAACGAGCTAA